TCATCCTTGCACTTGCGCCGAGAAGTCGCTGTCGAGTCGTTCGGGGTCCGAGGTGTAATGTCTTCATCTCGTCGTCACCCTTTCTCGGTAGGAGCGAGGGGGGAAAAGCAAAGGAGATATGTATAGACGGTATATGCAAAAAAAAAAAAAAAAAACAGCTCCTTCGGTGGTAGTGGTGGTGAGGCGCGCGCTGCAGGGAAGTGTATGTATTATATTATAATATAATGCGCCGTAATCGGCCGGCCAATTACTTAACGCCGCGAAGATCAATCTCGAGGGGTTGCCCCGAGTTTTTTCCCTTTTTTTTTTTTTTTTTTTTTTTTTTTCGGCCCTTCCCTCTCTCTCTCTCTGTGTATGCCTTGAGCTTTTGCCGATAGCATCTCGCGTCTGCGGGCCCGCATTCCCCCTATTATTCATTTGGCCCCAGTGGCCCCGCGCCAGCGAGTGCGCTATTTCTCTCCGCTTAGCAGCTCATTAATTAGCATAATCGCGCGCTCGGTGGACTCTTTTTGTTTTCTTCTTCTTCTTTGTTATCTCATTCATTCAGGGGTGAAGAGACCGATCTTTTTATCAATATGGATCGTATATGTATATATGTTAGCGATTTCATAAAAACTACCCCATTCCTCCTCTTCTCCTGCAATAAAATATATACAGATTTATCACCAGCCAAACAGGTAATACTGTTTAACAAACGTGGATTTTGACACCTGAGGTGTACAAGTATACATAGTACATGTTGTACATTTTTTCATTTAAAGTGTTACGAAAAATTCCCAAACTAAAAATACGAAGTTATAGTGGGGAAGGACCTACGTGGTGATGGACACAATCCAAACTACAGTAAATAAAAAATCTAATTAAAATTTTAACAAGTTGGGCGCAAAACGTGTCGAAAAACTGGGAAGGGCCGAAATAAGTGAGTTATACCTTGTTATTTATGGTATTGTGAAGAGTTTCTTGCCGATTTTTCATTATAACTATGTAATGTCCATCTTTGAAACAATCATTACACCGATTTTCGAAATCATACACAAATTTTTCATCCACTCCATATGACAAGGGTGCATGCACACGTTTAACCGCGTTAAGTCGACGATTCGTCAATCAGTTTTGCTTTGTATACACTTGTACGTACTCATACTATACATATTTTTCGTTGAACAAAGCTAGGCTGCATATAGACGTGAAGCATGTTTTTCGTCACGTATCCAACACACATACGTAAAGGGGTACGTGCATATATGCGCTTGTACATGATTTACACAATATTGTGAGCACGTACGTGTAGTCATACATGTATATGCATGTGTGCCTGTCTGCTCGTACCTACATTTAAGCGCAAGAGCCTATAATCCAATTGAATGAAGCCCGCATTCCGGACGCGCTTTGCGATCGTTTTTTTTTTCTTTTTTTTATTTTATTTTTTTTTTTAACGCTAATACCTAACAGCTTTACAACGATGCTCCTGTGGGCTCGAGCCCAAACGCAATATCCCTTCTTGATTGAAATCGCTAAGATCGATTTCTCTCCTCCACCTCCCCTCTTGCTCGCTTGCTTTTTTTTTTTTATTTCATCACTAACCTTCTATACGTATTTTTTACTCGCCCCTATTTTTTTTATTTCACTTTCTTGAGCGTTACTTCTTGTAAGTACCGTAATAAGCCTCGAAAAAGAAGCAAGAAAAATTGTTTTCTCGTGAGTTACAGTGTGGTTTAGAGCACGAATTACATCGATGAGTTTTACAACTACTCGTCGTGCAAATTGTGCGTATGAAATTTGATTTGCACGAAAAGCGTTTCAAAAGACAAACTAAAATTTTCCAGTGCTTGGTTTATCTTTTATCGTAAATCATCTCTTTGCAATGAAAATATTACTTTTGTTGAAATACTTTTGAAAAACTTTCATAGCATTTATGTAGCTAACCAAAGGAGACAGTCAATGCTCAAGACGATCAATTTACATTTGGCACGATGTTTCGGTCGGTTTTGCGGTTTTCGAACCGATGACGATTTAAATAACGTTTCTGGACATGGATGTAAAACATGAATGCGTGTACGTTGTAGTGGGTCATCAGTTGAAAAAAAAAAAAAAAAAACACCGTAGAATGACTGAAACGTCGATGGTCACATTTTCGACATAAAAGTCTCGTGCGTTTTGATACGCTTTTCAAACGAAACGTCACCGCAACAATAAAAGTAAATTTAATCACGCACTGCTCGACGGAATATATTTTTTTATTTTATATACATTTTTACGGAAGCCTCTGAAAAATAGTCGGAGGCAAGGGGTAACGCGTGTATTTTTTTGCGGGATCTTCTTTTTCCTCCCTTTGATGTGACTACAGTTAATCATGTGAGCGAGGAAGGTGTGAAATACATGAAGAGAGAGAGAGAGAGAGAGAGAGAGAGAGAGAGAACAAACTGATAGACCGAAGCTTTGGTTGCCCAGAGTTGTGCACTATTTATTGGATTATGATTTTTATCTAAGGTTTCTCTCCCTTCTCCCCCTTTGACCATTTCTACGACGGGCCGAAAAAAAAAAACAAGTTGTGCAAAATTATGATCACCAAACAACAAAAGCAAAAAAATGACGAAAAAAAAAAAAACAACCTCCGCAAAGACGTCACTCGTAATTTTCTTTCATAATTTTGATAAAGGAGAGCACAGTATAAAGTACAGCTTTACAGTAGCAGTCAAGTGTTACAAAATGTAGCAACTCAGCCAAGTGGTACAAAAGATAAGAATTTACACGTGTAACGTGCGTATGGTATGTACAAACAGAAAAAAAAAAAAAAAACGTGTAAAATTAGTACAATAGGCATAAAGTACGCATACTTACTAGATGTATACTCACAGTGTAAACGGGTCCTACGATATTGGTAATTTGCTTACAATACTAATGGGTGCTTGGATGTGTCGGTAATCAGCAGTAACATATATAAATTGAATTTATTACTGTAAAAAGCACCTTGAGGAAAATCAAGTCATTTCAACTCGTAGGCACCTTGTACAAGTGAAATTACCATGTCTCGAGACTCTAATGGACTTTACACGGAGGCTCGTGTCTTACTTTTCCTCTTAGGATGAGCTTCGCGCTCCAAACTTTTTCGGCTAAATTATTATCTTTCACACCGCTTGGCTGAGTTATACTACACCTTCTTCCGTCCAAGCGGTGTAACTGCTCGACAGTGTATAAGCAGGTATGTTGAACCGAACCATCTCAATTTTTTTTCCCCTTCGCCTCTTTCGTCATATGCGAGTTGTTTTCAAAATATAATCGTACAAAAGACTCCTGCAGAAGCGACGGGAGTCAAAGCGTTTTAAATCTCCCGCTTACCTTGTACATATTTATGCTAATTCGCACCATTTAACTCGGTACACACACACACATGGGTATGTAAATATTCGGCGGCTACCGTATTCAGTTGGAGAACACGCGAACAACTATACATGAACGGATAAAAAAAAACATACACCGTACGATTTTTAATACGTGACCTGCGGCCAGAAATCACCCGGTACAAGCACGTAGGTACACACACCGCGAAACGAGACGGGAGACTTGCACATTTTTCAAGAAAGAAAAAATCCTCAAATCGATTATCGGTATACACTCTTACACTCTTTGAAAAATCGATCGATCCCTATGTTGTACACAAATAAAAGGTAAGCCGAGTGCAAAGCAATTGAAATTCACCTGATGCACGAAACCCGGGGTTGTTATTAAAACGCACGCATAGAACAATTTCACGTCGCAGTCATTATCTTCAAATACATTTATAGAAAATCGCTCTCGCGAAGAAAGGCGCGTGTAATATATAATATATCCTCACGTTCGCGCGGCAATCGATCGCCAATAATTTTTCCAATCGAAGCAAACGAGAGCCAGCCCAAAATGAGTCATCGATACATTACACATATAAACGTGCCGTTTCCTTGGCCAAATAGTTTGTGTTTTTTTCACAATGGAAAAAAAAGAAGGAGCGACACGACGAGGATGGTGGAGCTTGTGTGTATACATATAAAATATTCTCATGAGCACGCGAGGTCACTACAACTTTTTTTTTTTTTTTTTTTTTTCTCCTCTGACGCAAGATATAATTGACCGATTTGTGTGCGGTTTCCTTTATTAAATGCTACTATAGTGGACGAGGACGAGTAGGTGGAGCCGAGGAGCCAACAAAAGCTGCAGCGGGAGCACTATTGAGGGGCTTATTAGGTTGGGGGACCAAGCCTGCCCGGACATTCCGCGGAGTATGCCCATTAGCACGCACTTGATCCGTGAGAGCGCACGCTGTATATGACGTTGCGCCAGCGCCAAGCGAAGCTCATCTTTTAGTTGCAGCAACTCACGCCATCGCCATAATCATCATGATTTTCTTTTCTTTTCTTTTTTTTTCTTTTTTTTTTCTCTCTCTCTCTCTCTATGTATAATAATAATTAATAACGGTATACATAGCAACGTAGAGATGCGTGCGAGTATAGAGAGGAGCTTGGCTGGGCTTTTCAGAAGCGCGTCAAGGATGTGCAGGCAGCACGAGCATGCACGGAAGCCTAATTTCTTTTCTTTTTCTTTTTTTTTTTTTTTTCTTCGTCTATATTATATTCCTCGCGCATGCACACGAGGTTCCTTCGTTGGCTAGCTTGCGTGCCGGCTACCGTTTTGCGGCAAAAAGGCTGTGGAGCTGAAAAGACCCGCTGCCACGGCACTTGATGATCCACGCGTGTTGTGTGACCCACCGAACAATAATTGACGCGGTTGCACGGGAGTGAGAGTAGAAACCAAAAATCCTGCTTGTAATTAAAAATGAAAAAAAAAAAAAAACCAAAAGAGAAACATTTTCGTAATTATAATACTTATACATTTATGTATATATATAAGAGAGACGCGTAGCGTGTGCGTATAGGGTATAACTGCAGTATACGGTGTGCACGTACAACGTGCATAATCAATAAAGAAAGAGGCTTGACGCGCCGTTGGTCTCTCGCTGGTTGCAGGCACCCTCCGCCCACCAGGCCTCATTGGCGGGAGCAAGCCCAAGGTAGCGACGCCTGCGGTAGTCTCCAAGATCGAGCAGTACAAGCGGGAGAACCCCACCATATTCGCCTGGGAGATCCGGGAGCGATTGATCTCCGAGGGTAAGCACATTATACATATATATATATATACCTTTATTACGCGTGTGCATGCTTCCACCTCTTTTATCCACCATTGTACTTTCGGATGACGTATTATGTACGGACTCGGTGTCTATGTCCACGCACAATAAGGTGTAAAATTTTTCGGCCCTGTACAATTTACAAAACAAACCAACAAACATTCGTGCTATGGTTTTTTTTTTTTCTTTTTTCTTTTTTCTTTTCACATGTACATAATATAATATGTATACGGACGCAGATGGTCCGCACGATGAATTACTGTGTGTTATCGTTGAGTTTTGTGCGCTGTATATTTTTCGCGAAACCCTCTTTTTTTTTTTTTTTTTTTTTCATTACCCGTGTATTATGTGTGTTACAAAAAACAGCAACGGTAGCAATCGGTATACCAAATACCCACCTACCTACTTATACCATAATATGTACACATACCGAGAGCACAAACGCATAATCGTCGAGCGTGTATATATTATATATACATCGAGGGTATCAATTATCCGTCGAGAGACTCCCTTTCTTTGAAAACGCGTTTGGGTACCGGACGAGTACCAAATTTTTGTTTCCCTCAAAGCACTCGTTTGCTCGTCCAACATTCCTCCCGAGAGACACACACGCGAGGGCGGTCTTCGTTATGAAAAAAAAAAAAAAAAAAAGCGTTATCTCCTTTTCTAACAGAGTTATAGACACCACCCAAGAATTAATTAAAGCGACTCTCTGTGACGGTCGAATTCATCAGGAATTCTATACACAACTAGAACAGAATAAAGTTAAATATTTCATGAGAGGGCTACACTGGGTAATAAAAGCACGTATGGGCCACGCAAAAATCCTCGAAACTACCACAACTCAAACTATATAAATCGAAAGAAACTTCGCGTGTTATGAACCCAAACATCTATAAGAAACAGTAAAAATGATAACTAATAGACAAGGTCAAGATGCACGAATAAACTTAATTTTCCGGTGACTCAGGTTTCTTCCAGAGGGAAAGCTCAGGAGAAATCAGCAATGTAACTCTAACGTCTTCCCAAAATAAACAATAATCAACAAAACCATTTTACTAAATATCTAAACCCAAATACCTTTGATAACAATTAAATTCAGTAAAATTAATCGACCCTTTAGTAGGATAGAATTAGCTTTTTGAAAAATTGAATTGCTATTAGTGCAGAAAAAATCATGGTGGTAGTTATTTAGTTTCTAAATAAATCCAAATAGTTTAAGACTTCTAATTGTGTCAGCTAATGGCCGAAAAAAATAGTAAATGTGGTCAAAAATGGTTTTTCGCGTCTAGGAAAAAACTGGAGAATTGGACAAAAAAGTTATTGTTAAAAAAATTGCACAATTTCAAAACAAAGAAATTGAGCTTCAGGAAAATAAAATTGGCCCAGCCGTTTTTCTACAATTTGCCAAAAAGTGCTCTTTTGGGCCGTTATTAAAAAAATCTATAACTCACGTTCATTTAAATATTGAGACTTGAAAGTTAAATACAAGGTAGTTCTTGTGCCCCTTAACATCTGCACTAATTTTCAAGAAGATCGGTTGTAAAATTTTTGTGAACCGCTGAAAGAAGCAAAAAATGGTCCCTCCGCAAGCAAGTTATACGCGAACCGCCGCGGTAGGCCATACACCCTCTAGTCATCATAGCTCCGGAGTTTGTGAGTAGCTGTCCGCCCCGCCGCATAGTGGGATAAACTGATATTTTTCGTTTCAAAACTATGTAAACTTCCTTAGAAGATATATTTTTTCATAAAAGTTTTTGGATCTCATAGGTATGATGACAGGGAATAACAGAAAATTAAGAAGAAATGTAAAAAATAAAATCCTAACCTACAATTTTTTGATTATTTAAAAAATTTTTGTCACCTAGTAGCTACACCCACAAATCTATACCAACGCACGCTCGATCGGGCAAGTGCTCACCAGCCATTCCTGCTCCCTAAACTCCACCTCTGCCAAATTCAACATCTGGCCTACGCCTGCAGCTGCACCTTTTTTCCAAGAATATGTTAATNGCGAATTTCGGAATATATTATCGCGGTGCAAGCCAAAGTTTGTCCGCGTGTACATGTAGCACCCGTAATCTTATACTTCGGGAGCACCTTATCGGTAATTCCGTAGGTGTTGAGGGGGGAAAAAAAGGGGGCAGGGATGCCTGCTTTTTGGCACAGCACTGGTATACAATGCGATGTACACCTACGTAAAAGTTTCGAGTTTCCTAACACCAAAGTCAATCTTCTCTCGCAACTTCAGTGACCTTTTGGCTCTGCTCTGCTCGTCGGAGCGTGTGCCTCTCGTTCGTATAGCTCGTGTTTCTCTTCCTTTTTTTTTTTTTTTTTTTCCATACGTACATCTTCCTAGTAAAAACACAAAATTCGTGATGCATGCGGGGCTTCGTCCAGCTCTTGTCTCCGAAAAAAAATCCCCAATAGGGGTTGAAATGAACGAACGAATCGACTCTGCCTCGAAGAAATCTTGGAATCACCCCCCAGTCGAACGCGAGGTAGATGCAATATTGTTACTCGGTAGACTGAATAAAAAAAAAAAAAGTCCCCGCAAAGCGTGTGAGTGATCGCCTTTTAACAAGAGCTAACGTCGTGACTCTTAGGTTTGGTTTTCCAACAGACGGGCTAAGTGGCGTCGTCACCAGCGCATGAACCTACTGAAGCGCTCGCCGCCTCACCACTCGGCGAGCAGCGGCAGCAACCTCCAGCAGCCGGCGGTAACCACGACAGCAACGACCCCACAATCCGCGGCGCCGAGCCACCAACACCTACACCACCACCAGCACCATCATCATCAGTCATCGCCACCACCACCACCCACCTCGACGACGGCGACCACGACGACTCGCCTGCAGGGCCTGGGCAGCGGGGAGAAGAGCGCCTTCCGCGCGGTTGAGCGGCCCCAGAAGCCCAGCGCCTTCCGGGCCATCAGCCAGCTCCTCGCCAACGAGGACGGCCCTCGGACGCGCCGGCGCTCCTCGTCGCCCGCGCGCGTCGTTTCCCGGGCCATGAACCCCTCGGGTAGGTCCGACGACGAAGACGACGAGGAGATACAGGTGCAGGACTCGCCCAACGCGTGGCGCGAGCGCTGGATGGACCAGCAGCCCCTCGAACTCACCAAACACGATCGCTGATCGTAACTTGTGAAACAATTCAAGTGCAATGACCGCTCGCTGTACAACTATACATATATATAGTTTTTT